CTCCTGAGTTAATGGCCTGTTTCTCCTGAAAGAGGAAAATGCTCTGTCAATGATCTTTACTTACCCAAGAGCCTCCAGAAAAGCTCATATTGTTGCTATCCTAACTGCTTTGTTTATAATGTCTGGATAGAACTAGAACCCCTTTGGAAAGGTGGCATGAATATTCATTTGAAACCTTGCATTCTTGATACCATGGCATCATTTGTACCTGAGCTAATTTTTAAAAAATATTTTATTTATTTATTCATGAGAGACATAGAGACAGAGGCAGAGACATAGGCAGAGGGAGAAGCAGGCTCCCTGCAGGGAGTCTGATGTGGGACTTGATACCAGGACCCTGGGATCACGCCCTGATCCAAAGGCAGATGCTCAGCCACTGAGCCACCCAGGTGCCCCAGTACCTGAGCTTATTCGTTGTCTTTTTCCTGAGATGAAACTGTACAGCTCCAGTGCTGCTGCATTGACGGATAGCCATGCTGGTCCTGAGAGAGGAACTGATAATAAGATGAAGTACCAGGCCCTGAGAAAACACCCAGGAATGTGCTGCCAGCCCTTGAAAGTTGTGTGAGAAGTTGTACATAGCAGTTTGGAAGTTCTCTTCAATACAGAGGAAGCAGAGGCATGAAAAATGCAAACCATAACACTGTGCACATAGAAGAACAAACCCAGATGTTGACTGAGTTCCCCAGAGAAGTGGGTGGGCAGAGGAAAAGGCTGAAGATCGGACCCTGGGGAGTCAGTGGATGGAGGAAAGGAGGATTTTGCAAATAAAGCTGGACACTGGGGGGGGGGTAAAAAAAAAGGGGGGGTAAAAAAAATAAAGCTGGACACTAGTTGGAGACTTGGTGCAAGCCGTGCGGTATGATGGGATAGATGTTTCCGTATCAGGATGGCTTGTATTCGGTAGAGTGGAATGATTTAGGTTTGAAGAGAGCTTGGCTACCTGCATTTGGAAAGAGGAAGAAAATGAGTTTTTCAAACTATGAATACGACATAGTACCACCATCCTATTGAATGGGTGTCTTTTTTGATAATATCTTTATTTAAAGCATCATATGTACTGTAGAAAAGAAACCACCAAAAGATTTCTCTTAGAGACTTGTCAAAACAGTGAGACAAGGATGCCAAGGAATTCATATGAGTTGGGTAGACTTGTTCCTAAACCAGTCTAGAACATATCTGTTTATCTTCCAGATGATTAAAAAAAATATTTGGCAGCTCTCCTCGATGGCCTATGATACTCTTTAATAACACACACTTCCTTTTGTTTAACTAAAACAGAAAAGTACAGAGAGATGAAGCTCTCCAACATACCGGTCAGTAAATGTTACTAGCTTACTCAATACTTGGTATATTTTATTGGACCAACAAGAAAGAACGATGTGGGAGCTGTAAACTCTCAACTCCTGGCAATAGTCTCTTGTTATTATGAACTTCAGTACATTGAGGATGTGGTTTCTCAAAGGGATTTAAGTATTTTGGGCACAGTTCCAGGGACATTGTGTTCTACTCGACCTCAACCATTTCTACTGTGTCAGAGACACTATGGTTTAGAGATTAAAGGCCACTTTGGAAGGCTTGGAAGGCTTCAAAGTATAGGTACAAAATGAACTTGACCTTTACCCAAGATTTTGTTTCTTTTATTTTTCAAGAGCAGTAGCCATTTGGAAATATTGAGGAAGTCCTGACTCTTTTGTGAGAAAATGATACAATCATATTTAAGAGTTTGAGAAGGTCTGGGTTTGCAGGCTGTTCTCACTCCATCAGGAGGCAGCTCCAGGCCCTACTACTACACTAATTTAGGGATTCACGCACATAAAAAGTAGTCTTGAGTTCTCTAGTTTAGAAGCAGGCCACGGAGGAAATAAATCTTCAGGGGTTTCTGAGAAAGGAAGAGGTGACATATAGGTGCTGCCTATTTCCACATATATCCATTTCTTTAGCAAACTTAAGTTTTCTTCTTTTTTTAAGATTTATTTATTCATTTTAGAGAGAGAAGGATCACGAGTGGGAGGGGCAGAGGGGAAGAGGGAGAGAGAATCTCAAGCAGACTCTCTACCACGTGTGGAACCCGGCATGGGGCTCAATCTCACTACCCTAAGATCATGACCTGAGCTGAAACCAAGAGTCAGATGCTTAACCAACTATGCCACCAGGGATCCCAGATTTAGGTTTTCTATGGAATGAGAGCAGAGAACCTGAACATGAAGAGTGAAACTAATTAATGAAATCCCTTTATCAACTTGATACCTCTGTCAATAGGATAAAAATTAATGTCCTTATGGGTCTTTATGATCATCTTTTAGAATTTCCATGGCTCCTGTTTGTAAAATGATTGCCAGGCTGGACTCCTCTCTCCTTGAATTGTTTACTTTTCCTGCCACCTCTTTGTTTATCAAGGCTCAGATCATGGGGTCTTTAGGCCGTGTGTGAAATAAGACTCTGGTTGGCATCATCCTGAGGAGAACTTGATTAGAAATGTGGGACACATTTGTTGAATTATATTTATGATACTTAATGCCCCCAGATGATTGAGCATGTTTGGTTTTATAAAAAAAATACTTTTTTTTTCAAAGCAAAGATCGATTTTGTATGGGACTATTCCTTGAGGATGAACACATTTTACAGAGGAAAATGTAGATTTCCCCCGATTTCAATTAAGGGAAGAACTGTAACAAGAACCAGCTGCTCTGAAGGCTGCCCATGAGCTGTTAACCCCCAGTTGGCCTCCTCTCCAGAGCTAGCATAGCCTTCTGGGTAAAATGTCTGCCCATTTTTCTCCAGACATGCTTCCTCATTTTCCTTGGTTGACCCTGTTTTCTCAACTTCCAGCTTATACCCCAGAGCTTCTTCGTCTCCATTTTTATTCCTTTTAAACATAAAAGATTTGTGTGGAAGATTTCTACATTTCACATTTCCACACTCTGCTTTATCCAGTTGGGAAGGTTCAGATATGTCTAGAACAAACCTATCTCTACATTCTATCAACCCTATAGGAGGGACAGAAAGCTTAATGTTTATGAGCAAAGGCTTTGGGAACAGGAAAATTTCCGTTCTACTGTTTTCCAGCTAATATCCCTGGGCTTTAGTTTCCTCCTTTATAGGATGGAAATATTAATAGTGCTTGCCTCCACAGGGTTGGGGGGAGAGAATGCGTATGGAGAGCTTAGCCAGGGCCAGGCATGGAGAAAGATCTCAATAAATGTTAGTAATAATGGTAGTGATAGTGGTGGTGGTGGTGATGATAAAGGTTTGGAGTCTCAGATAGTCCTATTGCAGCATTACAACATCACATTTTTCAAATGAGAAATCAGATCACATAATCTGCCAAAGTTATTTGAATTTGCTACTGTGGGAGGCAAAATTAGTTGTCACTTAATGGCTGCCGTATAGCGTTACTCAGTTGAAGAGTGCATGGGTGCACGCATGCGTGTGTAAGTGTGTGCACATGAATGCAAATACTTTTAGGTCTTATGTCCCTACCTTGATGGTCAGGAGTTTTGCTTTAGCTCTACTCCCACGTTTTTTTTTTTAATCTGACACAGTAGTTAATATTGTGCAGTGCACACAGTAGGCTTTCTGCAAATATTGAGTATGTTTTTATTTGATAGAAAATAACAGTGTTGTGCAAAATTGAATAAATAGACAATATTTTGATCTTATGAATGTTTTATTTTTAGAGGAACTACATACATTAGGAATAAAACCTTAGAAAATACCTAGACCTGGTCTTTCTTCTCAAGGATTCACTTCCTCCTCACTCTGGTGTTTGCATAGCACAAGACTTGTCCCACAATGGAAATGAAGTCAATGGTGGCAAATAATTAGCTATCTTTATGTTAGAGGTCTCGGTACCAAGCAATAGAAAGCCAACCTTGGCTGACGAGAGATTTATTTTTTTTAATTTTTAAAAAAAGATTTTATTTATTTATTCATGAAAGACACAGAGAGGCAGAGACCTAGGCAGAGGGAGAAGCAAGCTCCCTGTGGGGAGCCTGATGTGGGACTCGATCCCAGGACACAGGGATCACAATCTGAGCCAAAGGCAGGTGTCCCTAACAAGAGGGATATAGTGAACGGTTATCAAAGAGCCCAGAGAATCAACAGGAGGCTGGAAGGCCACGTTTAGGAATAGGCAGTAATCAGGGGAGCTTTGGCAAGTTAGGAGCAGGAACCACAGCCATGGTCTTTAGAGCTGGAAGCATCGTGCAGCATGCTGCCATGGGGAAGGAGAACCCAGAGTTAGCTTTCTTCTGTTGTTGGGTGACTCATTCGAGGATTATAAGTCAGAGAGGGTAGAGAAAGGATCTAGCCCATCACCTGCGATAATGGGAGATGATACCCAGGACCCTCCTCCCTATACATCTATCCACAAAGGAGGAGAGACAGTTCCCCAAAAAGAAACCAGGATAATAATTGGGAAAGAAACATGGATGCTGGGCAACCAAAAAATGTCAAATGCCCATTATTCTCTTTCTCATATGTTGAGTCATGACATTAGGCATGGTCGGTTGTCCAGCCGATCTTTATTTAGCCCGTGTGAACCCTAAAACACAGTCTGAGATGTTCTGCCTTGTTGTTCCAGTCTTCTGGGTGGTTCAAGGATAGTCTTCCGTGTCATCATCCTGCTCTCATCTGAGTGGGAAGCATCCCTTCCAAAGAGATTAGATAGGAACTTGAGGGTTGAGAATATTGTGGCATCAGCATTAGATATTAGGATGAACTACCTTTATTTATTTTCTCTATATAAGTAGGAGTAAGTTCACAGCTATTTTTTACTGTTAATCAAATACAGGTAACACAACACCAGGGGACTTTTTGCTAATCTAACTGAAGTTTGGGGCCTATATCAGTAAAATATATTTACTTTCTATCAAAGGTGATGCTTTTGCAACAGGAGAGGATACTGCTAGTTTAAAAATGGCCCTTATGTTGGCTGGGTTTTGTTTTTTAGAATGCCATTCTCATTTATGGTATTATCCTTTGCTTCTATGTTGTAGGGAAAAACTTATCCATTCCGAGGAGCCTTTCCTCCGGTATGGAATCCTATCGCATATTTGGATTACAACAACCTGTGGCGGACAATGGATAACATGGGGAAGGAGGTAAAGTGTGTGTTCAGCTTACATGTGACCTGTTACTAATAACAACAGCAACTGTTTAACATCCTTCAGTTCAGGAAACATTGCTCTGGACATTAACAGATATCATTTCCAATGCACCCAGATCCTCTGCGAAGTCGATAGTATTTCCCCTTACAAGGAAAATGAGTGCAATGAGGATTATAGGGTAATTTCCCCAACACCACACAGCAAGGGAACCAGGATTCAAACCCACATCTCTCTGATTGTAATGCCTATGTGCTTTCAACTTTATGCCACTGAGAATTTGTGTGGTGTATTTTTGCCAGGTATCCTACTCATAGTTGCCTTATCCATGTGTGATGCTCCTTTAGATAGTAAAATAAAGAGGATTGTTCCCCCACAGTTTTTGTACCTAGTGCCAGGCTCCATAAAATCACTCTCACACACTTAAATTGGGGACTTAAAATGGGCATTGGCTTTCAATAATAATGATCACCATCATCATCATTACATATTAATTTACATACACATTTATTCCCCCCCTTTTGCATGACCATCATCATAATTATTATCATCATCATTATTATTATGGAAACATCAAAGGCATAGAATCCAGAGATCTATCCATCCCAAACCCATCACTATCTATATTAGAATTCTGTGCCAATCACACATTCCAACACAGACACAGAGACTGCTTTTCAGAGTTTGTCCTGAAGGCCTCTTGGCAAGATAGTGGGCAGTAACCATTACACCTGAATGTGGGCCCTTCTTCCTCCACAGATTCCAGCAGATGCACCATGGGAGGCCCCACATGCCGAGGAATGGGACAAGATGACTATGAAAGATCTTATCGATAAAATCTGCTGGACAAAGTAATCTTGACTATTTAAAATTGACTTACTATCTTTCCTTTGGATCTTTCTGTCCTATCTTGAACTACAGTGGGGTTTTCCTCTTTTCTTTTTTTTTAAGATTTTTATTTTTATTTTTTTTAATTTTTATTTATTTATGATAGTCACACACACACACATACACAGAGAGAGAGAGGCAGAGACATAGGCAGAGGGAGAAGCAGGCTCCATGCACCGGGAGCCCGACGTGGGATTCGATCCGGGGTCTTCAGAATCACGCCCTGGGCCAAAGGCAGGCGCTAAACCGCTGCGCCACCCAGGGATCCCAAGATTTTTATTTTTAAAGTATTCTCTACATCTGACACAGGGCTTGAACTCACAGCCCCAAGATCAGGAGTTGCATGCTCCACCTACTGAGCCAGCTAGGCACCCCTGCAGTGTTTTTTTTTTTCAATAAGTTATAGGAAAGAAGGTTAGAGGAAACCTAATGATCAGTCAGTAGCAACTTTGAGGTAACTTTAGACACTTCAGAGTGGGTTTGAACATAGAATGAATCTAAAACATAAGAAAAAGAGGAGGTGCATTAAGTGGAATTTTTTTTAATGAAAGAGCTGTATGATTTGCAATAAAACAAGTAATTGTGTATTCAAATTATATAGCAGTCAGCTACAGAAGCAATTTGAGAAGATATTAAAGTAATTCCATACAGATGTAGAAAAATGTGGAACAGAAGGCAAGCTAGTCTATTTTAATGAAAAATATAAATTTTATGATGTTTTCAATGAGAACCTGTGTAATGAGTTGAGTTACTTATAGATTGTTTAGTCAGCTTTCTGGGGCTGCTATGTGAAAACATTGTACCAGTCAGTGAGGAATGGTGGTGAAAGCGTTAGGCATGGCCTCTAAACTCATGAAGTTAATATTATTCTAGCAGGAGAGACTGACATTATCCACATAATTCCATAATGTTACCAGAGTGACTGTAACAGGGCTTTTGATCTGAGGGGAAGGAAGAGATTCTTGGATGCAGCAATCTTTAAACATAAACCAAGGACTTAGTGCATCAACTAAAAATTAATCACAGAAGATGGGAGGAGATAGGAAAGGGTGGACAGTGTGGAGGACATGGTATTTTCCAGGAATACCATATAGTGGATGAGAGAGAGAGAGAGCAGAAAGATGATGGTGTGGAGGGAAATGTCTTCTAGAAACGAGCCATAGTATTTGGGTATAGACAAGAAGGGAAGATGATGTGGGAATATCAAATCTACAAGGAATGTGCCACAGTGGATGAGGGGAGGCCAGATGTATAGATAGTATGGAGATGACATGTTCCAGGAGTGAGCCTTAGCAGATAGGGAGAGAAAGGAAGAGTGGATGGTGTGGGGAAATGGTATCTTCAAGGAATGAGCCACAGTGGAAGGGGTGAAAAATGAAAGTTGGATGATGTATGCATGCAGATGGTATCATCCATGAATGAGCCACAGTGTATGCTGGTAGACAAAAAAGCTGGATGTTGTATAGGGAGAAGTTATCTTTCAAGAATGATCCAATTGATGGGGTAGAGAATAAGGATGAAATGTATGAAGGGATGGTATTTTCTAGGTATGAAACCAAGTGGATTGGGGAAGGCAAGAATGGATATTTGGTGGGATGTATCTTCCATGAATGAGCTTAATCATGGAGAGAGACAGGAAAGTTTGATCATGTGGGGGAATGCTACCTTCCAGGAATGAGCCACTGATGGGGGAGACAAGAAGAATGGAATGTGTGAGAGGATTGTATCTTCCAGGAATGAGCTACAGTGGATGGGGGTAGATAGGAAAGATGGATGATGTGAATAGATTTTATCTTCCAAGAATGAGCCACTTGGATGGGGGGGTGGGATATAGGAAAGCTGGATATGTGGGGGTGATGGTATCTTCCAGGAAGGAACCAAATGGATAAGGGGGACAAAGGAAGAGAGGATGGTGTAGGAGAATGGTTTCTCCCAAGAATGAACCATAATTGACGGGGGAAATAGGAAGGCTGGAAAATTGAGGCAATGGCAACTTCCAGGAATGAGCCACATGAATAAGGGGAGCCAGGAAAGCTGGATGGTGTAGAAAGATGGTTTCTTCCAGGATTGAGCTACACAGATGGGAGGAGAGAGGAAGGACGGATGGTGTGGGTAGATTTTATCTTCCAGGAAAGAGCAACAAGGATGAGGGGTGGATAGAAAAGGAAGATGGTATCTTCATGGATAGAAAAGGTGACAGTATCTTCCTGGAAGGGGATAGACTGGAAGAGTTGATGGTGTGACCAGATGGAATGAGCCCTGATGGATAGGGGAGGAAGAAAGGATGGTACCTTCCAGGAATAGGCCATGGTGGACAGGGTGGGGGAAAGATAGTAAGGATGAATGGTGGGATGGCTTCTTCCTGGAATAGCAGTTTATGGAGGTAGACAAGAAGAGTGGATGGTGTTGAGGGGATGGTATCTTGCAGGAATGAGCCACAGTGGATTGGGGGAGATAAGGAAGGGAGGATGGTATGAAAAGATGGTATCATCAAGGAAAAAGCTACAGTGACTCTGGGTGGGGGACAGGAAGGGTTGACGATATGGAAACAAGGTATCTTCCAAGATGAGCCAGTTGGCCAGACTGAAAGGATGGTTGATGTGGTGGATAGTACTTTGAGGAATGCATCAATTGATGGGGGACATAGGAAGAGTAGAAATAGTTGAGGGGATAGTATCTTCCAGAAATGCACCACTGTAGGGGGACAGAGGAAGGGTGGATGGCTGAAGAGGAAATTTATTTTTCAGGAAAGAATAATAGTATTGGAGGTAGGGGTGGAGGACTGGAAGACTGGATGATGTAGTCTAGCTATCCCCTTAGAAACAACGCAGTGGATGTAGGAGGGAAGATGGAGGTTGGGAGATGGTATCTTCCAGGAATGAGCCACAGGCTATAGGGGGACACGTGAGGGTTGTACTGGAGAGAGGGGGATGGTATCTTCTAGAAATGAGCCATATAGATGAGGGAGATAGGAAGACTGGGTAGTGAGGGTAGATGGTATATTTTAGGAATGAACTACATGGATGGGGGGGGAGACAAAAAGACTGGGTAATGAGGGTGGAGGGTATCCTCTAGGAATGAACCACACGGATGGGGGAGTCAGCAAAGACGGATGTGGTGGGAAATGTTACCTTCCAGGAATGAGCCATAATCCATGGAGGTAGACAGGAAGGATGTGGAGGTGGGGGGGCCGGCGGGCAATGATATCTTCCAGGAATGAGCCACAGTAAATCGGGAAGACGGGAAAGCTGGATGGTATGGAGGAATGGTATCACTCAGGAATGAGCTACAGTGACTGTGAGGGGAGATAGGAAGGGTAGATCAAGTAGGAACATAGTATCTTCCAGAAATGAGCCTCAGTGGATAGGAAAGACAGGAAGGATGGATGGTATGGGGAGTTGATACATTCTAGAAGTACACAGTAATGGTTGGCAGGGGAGAGGATGAGTGGATAGTGTGGTGGGATGGTATCTTCTGGGAATGAGCCACTGTGGATGGGGGAGGCAGGAAAGTTGGAAGGTGTGGGAAGATGGTATGTTCCAGGAATGAGCCATTGTAGAATGGGAGGAGACTGGAGGTGTGGTTGGTGTGTTGGGAAGGTTTCTTGCAGAAATGAGCTACAGGGTTGAGGGTGGATGGGGAAGGGGAGATGATGTGGGTTGGTAGTCTCTTCTAAGAATGAACCACAGTGCATGAGGGAAGACAGTAAGGATTTGTGGCTTGGTAGGATGGTATCTTCCAGGAATGAGCCATAGTAGATGTTGTGGAATAGGAAGGGTGGATGGCCTGTCGCGAGTTGGTATCTTCCCGGAAGGAACCACAGTGACTCAGGTATTGGGGTGAGGTGGGGGGGGAGATAGTAGCTACAGGAAGGATGCATGGTTTAGGGCATGGTATTTTCTGGTCGTGAACTACAGTGACTGTGGATGGCAGACCAGAATACAGATGATGTTTGGACCCAGTATCTTCCAGGAATGAGCCATAGTGGATGGAGGAGACAGGAAAAGAGAATGTTGTGAGGGGATGATACTATCCAGGAATGAGCCACAGTGACTGAGGGAGGAAACTGGAAGGGTGAATGATATGGCAGGTAACTTCCAGGAATGAGGTGTAGTAGATGAGTGTAGACAGTATAGAGGAGTGATGCTGGGGGATGGTATCACAGGAATGAGCCAGGCATAGGGGAGATATAAAGTGAATGTTGTTAGGGGAATGGTACCTTCCGGTAATGAACCCCTGAGGATAAGGGAGGCCGGAGGGGCGAATGGTGTGATGGGTGGTATTTTCCAGGAACGAACCACTGTGGGTGGGGGAGGCCGGAGGGGCAAATGGTGTGATGGATGGTATCTTCCAGGAACAAACCACTGGATGGGAGAGGCTGGAGGCGCGAATAGTGTGATTGGTGGTATCTTCCAGGAAAGAGCCTTTGTGAATGGTGGGAGATAGAAAGGGTGGATGGTGTGGGAGATAGCATTTTCCACGTAGAGAGAACAGAAAACAGCTCTTGAAGGCCTTGAGATGGGGAAATTGATATGTTTTTGTTATGATATGACAGTATGCCTGGACTCTTAAGGATATCATGAGAAAGTAATGTAATTAGCTGGCGGACGGACAGTTGGTTGAGAGGCTGATGGTGGAAGATAGAACAGCCACATTCAAGATTTTTTACGTCTTGCCATGAATGCCATTGAAGGGTTTTGTGGCAAGTGGTTTTTTTGTTTTGCATTGTCAAAAGACTTCATTGGCTGTAAATGGCAAAGAATCAAAAGGGGCTGTAGTCATAATAAACCAGATAGGGATTTACCAGGAGGAGCCATCACTTTTATAACCCAGGTAAGGGACGTTAGACTAGACCAGGGTGAGGACAGTTGGTCAGATAAATGAGAACTGTATCCTTAACGATCCCTCATAAGCATATTGACTGTTTTTAGACTGTACCAAAATTAATATATTTGGAGCTAACCTGTAACTGCCTCAAAGCAGAGGAAAAGTTTATTTTCACCAGGAGTTAAAATACGTATTCCTTCAGAGATTCGTTTTTTTTCCCCCCAGATGCAGTACACATGCTGTTTAACCACACTAAATTGTGTTTTAAAAACATGCTGTCCGGGGCGCGTGGGTGGCTCAGTCAGTTAAGCATCTGTCTTCCGCTCAGGTCATGATCCCAAGGTTCTGGGATCCAGCCCCGCTTTGGGTTCCTGCTCACTGGGGAGCCTGCCTCTCCCTCTCCTGCTGCTGCTCCTCCTGTTTGGGCTATCTCTGTCTCAAATAAATAAAATCTTTAAAAGAAGAAAAAGATGCTGTTCTGGGCAGCATGTCTGTATTTACACCTGACTGCCACTTTTGTTGTGTGACCAGGACTGCTAGGAGTTTTGCATCCCTCTTTGTGAATATCAATGTGACCTCTGAGCCCCACGAGGTGTCTGCGCTCTGGTTCCTGTGGTATGTGAAGCAGTGCGGAGGTACCACTCGGATATTCTCGGTGACCAACGGGGGCCAGGTATGGAGTGTTCGTTTGCGCCCTCTAACTTCATTTGTGGTTTTGCCCTCACCCAGTGTGGCATCTTAATAACCACTCCCGTGTTTGGAAACGTGAGTGAATTTGAACCGTGAATTTTTGAAATAGTGTCAACAGACTTGTCTGAAACCAAAAGTTCTCCTTTCCTTTTTCTCATTCCTGGAGATGAGTTCACAGCTAAAGAATGTTTCGTTTTGAAATAATTAGGTTTCAGGAATTGGGTTCCTTCCTTTTGTGGGGAGGTGGGTAAAATTAGTCTAGCTCTGTGGGAGGAGCTTAGTGACTCCGACCAATTGATTTTCAAAAACTTCCAGAACCAGTAAAATCGCTGTACTTAAAGTCAGCTCTGGTCCAGACAGGCTCTTGTCCCCTAGTGCAAGGGGTAGAGTCTTTCTCCACTAAGTGAATAATTCCTCTCCTCAGGAGGTCTCCAGAACTCCCTAAATTCTTGTGGCCACAAGAGTTATTGGCCATTTAACCCTTAGCTTTAGCCAGTGTGGACCAGTTGCATCTTGGAAGTGTGTTTATACTTAGAAATTCCCCATTACTTCTTTTGACCTGTGTTTTGCTTTCTGACCTATTGACGACCAATATTTGGTGATTTGGTGTTTCTAGTCCTCATTGCCTGCCTTCTTCTATAGGAACGGAAGTTTGTGGGAGGATCCGGTCAAGTGAGTGAACGGATAATGGAGCGCCTCGGGGACAGAGTCAAGCTGAAGCGCCCTGTCACCTATGTTGACCAGTCAGATGACAACATCATCATAGAGACACTGAATCATGAAATTTATGAGGTAATTCAGCCTAGTCAGAAGGAGCACATACTAGATAGGCCTCATGTCTTTGGCGGCTTCTAACCAAATATAATCCAAGCAGTGGTATAATTTGTGCTGGTAGGTTTTCAGCTCCGTCTTCCAAATTACCATTTATGATTCACCTGCCCTGTCTGTGAGTGTGGCCTCAGTTTGTATTGTGGTTACTGCTCAGGGTCATTCTAAATGATCACCATGATGTTTCTCACCATCTGTACAGACTGAGACTCACAGGTCTGAGGTGGTATTCTATGTCTGTTTTTCAGTGCAAATACGTGATTAGTGCCATCCCCCCAACTTTGACTGCCAAGATCCACTTCAGACCAGAGCTTCCATCAGAGAGAAATCAGTTAATTCAGCGTCTTCCAATGGGAGCTATCATCAAGTGTATGATGTATTACAAGGAGGCCTTTTGGAAGAAGAAGGGTAGGCTGTGCTTCCTCCTGTTTAAATTGCGTTAAGTGAAGTGACCCCACTCTTTTTAGGGACCTTCAATTCTAGCAGACATTGATAGTAGACATTGAACAGGAAAAAAGACTACAAAGATAAGTATTTTTAAATTTGTAGAGAAAGGGCCAGAAATCTCAGTCTGTCCATCTCTTCACAGCCCCAGGCTATGAATGACTTCAAGAGCACTTACTGTCAATGAAAGGGAGGGAAGGAAAAGATCCTACCAAGTGGCAGAGGCACCGTTGCCCTGCTTCCTGGCATATGTCCTGCCACTTACTCTAAGTGAGCAGAGTGACTCAAAGGGGTACTGTGGGAAGAGTACCCACACTCTTGGGCTTCACTTGCTTACTTAGCTGAGTGGCCTTGGGTGTGATACTACCTCTCAGCGTCAGTCTTCTTGTGTAGAATAGTAACAGCAAGACCTGCTGTCGGGAAGTTGCGAGAATTAGCTGAGGCAGGGCCTGGGTGGATATGGTGGCTCTTGTTGGTAAACCTGCTCCTATTCAAAGGATTCCTTCTCCCACCTTCTTCCATGGGTTCCTAAGGGTGATTCCCTCTGATGCAGACCTCTATTTCCTGTGTATTCTGGGTCTCCGGGGCCACATTACAACTTGAGCCCTGCATTGGTCATACAATGACTTTTATCTAAAAGTCATTGGGATGGGTCATTTTCTACGTCTCTGGGTCAACAGACATCCTTGTATAGTTAATGTGTGTATTTAGTAAGGAAATATCTTCTAGAGTTGGGGCAAATATTTGAAATTTGCCTTCCTTTTAGCAAAAGAGTTTATGTTTGGGTATGTATATGTGTGTATAGGTATATATACACAATTTTTTCCCTAAATTTTTCTTGAGGTCAGTTTTAATCTCCTATGGATTTTCTCCTTATTAAGATTACTGTGGCTGTATGATCATTGAAGACGAGGAAGCTCCAATTTCAATAACCCTGGATGACACCAAGCCAGATGGATCGCTGCCCGCTATCATGGGGTAAGTTAGAGCTGGATGCTTTGCGTTTTCTAAATCGTGTTGGTGTCTTGGTGTGGATGCTGGCAGAGCATATGGAATTGAGCTCAAGTGATCATAAATAACACGACAGAAATATATCATTTCCATGTTTTAAAATATTAATGTTTTGTATGTGGCACAAAACACTGGGGAAATTTTACAAAAACTGACACTATTTTGAACTCGTGCTCATTTCTTTCTTTCCCCCATGAAGCTATTGAGGACAGAGCGAAGGAAGCAGCTAGACAGGCACAGGCAGTATGGTAGACAGCCCCGCCCAGAGGTAGAATGTCCACAGTCATCTAGAATGAGAATTGACTATTTTACTGTGTAAAACCTTTCAAAGTTTGGGTTTCTGGGCTGTAGCCTTTTCTGCACTCCAAACATCGTTACACAGCAAACGTTAGTATGTTAATTGTTACCCAGGGATATGATACCAATGAGCAGTGAGGAAATGCAGTTTGAGGGAGAGCCAGGCCTTGAGTGGGTGTCACTTTTTGTGATAGGTCACTCCACAGCTGTCTGTCACTAGGGATCGTCCAGGGTTTGGTTCTGTGTCTGGAAGAGGAGAGCTTTCCCCTTCTCTGCCCAGCACCCCTCCCCCACCTGCTCTGCTCTTGGGGGGCTGGGAGTCCAGAGAATGAAGCAGTGCTTTCACAAAGGAATTGGCTAAGGAGTCCTCCGCCTTCCCCGCTGTCCTGCCTTTGACCCTTCCTCAAAGCTCCACATATAAAAGAGCTGTTTATTCTAGCACATTACAACGGAAGAGCTCGGCTTCTGTAACAGCCAAGTGACTTCCAGAGACCAGCGCTTTTCCCCTTCACCCTTGGGAGAGTCGAACTCACGCACATTGCATCACTGCAGGGAAATTACAAAACCAGAAGGCGACCCATGACCCCGCCAGACTTAGCAGGCTCTGCTCCTGGACTGCCCACAAGACATTTTGTAACCACTTCTCTGGCTGCAAAATACCAGAACTAGCACCAGCCTCCCTGGGAAGGGCGGGTGCCCACAACCTAATAATCAGAGGAACAGCACATCCTCTTCAACTCTAACCCCACTGGACAAGAAAGGATACAGGCTGTGGGCAGGTTGCCATCACCTTCTGTGTGCCAGAAGAAAACCGAGGGTTGATGTAATGGATTCAGGAGACACTCAGGACCAATCCAACTGTGGATGATGGAAGGACATGGATGTTCTTCTTGTCCTGGGAGTTAGATATTGTGGCATCTGCCTTCCTGGGCTGTCTTCAGCTTTTTTTAGCCAGAACATGTATGGCAGCAGCTTTCCAGATAGGAATGGGGTTATTTAGGCAGTTCCTAAAAAGTGATACTCTAATCTTTTTTTTTTATCTAGACAGTTGCCTACGCCCTGCTCTTGCCTTGACACTGCATTGTCTCCACCCTGCTCTTTGCTCTGGGCAATGAAACCCTTAACAACGGGGTGGTAATTGTCCAGTGCTGTGTTTGTGATACTAGTACCTTTTGGCAACTAGAAAGGACCTTGTACTTTCGAGCCATGAAATGTCCCCAGCCCAAAGCCAGTATGTTTAATTTCCTCAATAAAACCTCACTCACCGGAATGGCCAACACTAACTGCCCTTTAGAAAAGGAGTTGTAAGAAGCACCCAGGATCTAAAAAGGTTTTCAGGGAAATCATTTAATGTTTCATCTGATACTGATGGTTTTCACTCAAGTCCTGTGTAATCCTTAAATGACTGATTCTTACATAAACTTAAAATTTAACCAGAATCATTACTAGCAAGCCATAACATAAGTGTTAAATCAAGCAAAGTTATGACTATGTCCCATAAAGTTCATTAGTTCAAATGTCTCAAGTAGTCCACAGATACCTCTGAAATGCTGTTCTCTAGATTAACGCAAATACATTTTGTAATCTTTGCTTCCTGTAATGATCTCGAATAACAGCTCCGAAGGAATTGCCAATCAAATTTTGGAGCAGTTTAATTTGAGGGCGAGGGAGAAGTCGAAGTATCTGTTTTTGGCTCTTGCATTCTCAGTCCTTATCTACTTGTCTTTTTTGGTCTAGAACAAAAGAAATCAAAGTGTAGTACTTGTTTTTATTTATTTTTTTTTTAAATTTTTATTTATGATAGTCACAGAGAGAGTGAGAGAGGCAGAGACACAGGCAGAGGGAGAAGCAGGCTCCATGCACCGGGAGCCCGACGTGGGATTCGATCCCGGGTCTCCAGGATCGTGCCCTGGGCCAAAGGCAGGCGCCAAACCGCTGCGCCACCCAGGGATCCCTAGTACTTGTTTTTAAATGCAAAAGTGATTTCCTCGTCCTTTAGCTCATTTGGATTTTTGAGCACTTTCTACTAATAGCGTATGGAAGGACTTCTAGTCATAATTCAATTCTTTAAAACATACATGTGATTCAGTAATATCAGTATTTGTAGATAAATTATAACTGGGTTTTACTGAGTTACTGAATTTGGGGACTGGGCTAGGTCAGTTTCCCAGAAGCCAACTTGGAAATGGAGATTTGGGTACAAGGGGTTCCCTGTGTGCGCTGGGGTTGCTCCCTTTGGGGAAAGGGAATGAATCAGGATCGTGCAGAGGGAGAGTTTGGGCTCCAGTGTTGTCCCCAGCGGAAGGTCTCAGCCATCCCACAAGGAGCTCTAGAACTGTGATGGCCCTTCAGAGATGTCATGCACTGAGTGGACTCCAGAGCCTGTCACCCTGGGGAGGAGTGGGACCTTGAGCCAGGCAGCCCTCTGCTACAGAATGCAGTGGATAGGGGAAGGGTCTAGCCCTGAGCTGAGGGTAATGAGTGTTTGGTCATAAAGAGGGATCTGGGGGGCCCACCATGGCATCTACTACAACTGCTTTTTTAGATTTGGTTTTGCAGCTTTTATCAAGTATTTGGCAGAAGGCAGCAGTCAATTACCAGGATATCATTTAACACAACATTAATTCAACTAACATTTGATTTCCAACTATATACCAAGAACCACGCTGAACTTTGGGGGTAAAACATTGAGTGGGAGGTGACCAGTTACTTAGGAGCCCACAGTTTAGAGGGGTTTTGGAGCAAGGCAGATGGAAGACAGTCGGGCATTTGCTCTAATAGAGGGAAATAATGAGAGTGCGTGGGAGAGTTCATCAATGCTGAGTAGGCGGAGGCAGGAACATTTTAAAAAGAGGAGGCAACTCTCCTGTCACCTAATCGTTCAAATGTACCCTCTCTCTCCAGCTTCATACTTGCCCGAAAAGCTGACCGACTTGCCAAGCTCCATAAAGAAATAAGGTAAGAAGTAACATCTGAAACATACGTAAAAGCTTAGCTTTATATTGGGCTTGTGCACCAAGTATGATGGCATCAATGAAAACACCACAATTCACCAATAGGCTTAAAATCCCAAAATATCAACCTTTTTGTCACCATAGCAACCTTTTTGTGACAGTCCCCTGGACTCAGTGCTGGCCATAGGGGCTAATTAATTTAGTTTTACATATTTGTGTTTATTTTACAGGGGTTGAGAGGTAGGGTTTCCCTGTAGGGTAGATGGAGAAAAGTTGTAGGAAACAGTTGTTCAAAAAGCTTTAGAGGCTGAAACCTGATCACCCTGCAAGACCATTATCCCTTTTCCAAGGTTCTCTGAGTGTACTTTTTCTGAAAAGCAAATCCATGCATGTGGGTCAACTTGTATACATAAAATGATCCCCCTTTGATAATCTAGGATACAGCTCTGATGTTCCCTTCTCCTACTAGCTTCCTCGTATGAAACCGTCATTTTAGAGGACAGTGGCTTTTTTTCTTCCTTTCTCCCTTTCTCTTTCTGGCTTGTTGTATTTGTTATGTTTTGCCTTGGAATCCTTTCCTTTGTTCAGATAAAATCTTACAGGGAACTCTTATCTGGAAACAGTCATTTTGCTGTTGGGGGAGTTGGAGGGTTGCCTCTGGAATTTCTGGGCTTCCTTTCTTGAGGGTAGCCCTAAATCCTTTGTAGAGGACCAGGACGCACACACGCCTGCACACACACACACACACACACACACGCACACACACACAAAATTAAACAGGAAATCCCCAAGCAGCCCTTGGTTTGAGAGTTACTCTGATGACTTTGGGATGCAGGCTGCCGAAGTTCTCCCATTTGCACACGAATTTGTTCACTTGAGCTACTGTGAGGTCTGATTTCAGGAAGGGAACCACTAGCTCAAAAGAGGAAGAATGGGGCTCCAGCAATAGGGAATGGTTTGTCCAAGTTTCTCAAGCTAGCTTGTGACAAAGGCAGGCCTAGGCTCCAATGCATACTTTTTTCCATTATGCCGCCCTAGCTTGACATTTTCTTTTGGATTTCCTGCTTTCCCTCTTTATTAATAGTAAAATAAATAACAGCCTGGATGTAGACGTTTGGTTATGATTCCACATGGTGGCTGAACTTCTTGAAAGTTTTTGTAAGGCAAAAAACGCTTAGAACTCTGAATGTGTCTTTGACTGGAGCAAGATTCCCAGAACTGACTGTGTCAAAAATCTGCCAGAGAATGTTTGTAAAATACATTTTTTTCTGAGGCTGATAGATTATTTGGTAGGTTAGGGGTGGGGCCTGAGTGTTTTGTATTTTTTAACAAGCTTTTCAAATGATTATGACAAGCAGCCAGGTTTAGAAACCAGTGCGTAAATACAGCTATAAGAAATTTGCACAGTGACATCTTTTGGCCATCATTTAAAATATGTTCTATTATTTTTAGAGCCGAAATAACAGATCAGATCAGCAGGCTCTAACATTTTTGACTTCTATTACCTTCCCCAAAATTTTACGTTTTAATGGGAAGAAGGGATAGAGAAGATAATTTCCTGATGGATTTGTATGAACTCATCCTTGACTCATCTAATACTGTGAAATACAGTAAATAATGACTTCATTTCTATTATAAGTGGTTTACTGTCCATGAGTGAAAAATTAACTGCAAGGTAGGTTATTAGATTTTAGATTTCATTCTGTTTATCTATTTATTTTTTTAAGATTTATTTATTTATTTATTTATTTATTTGAGAGACAGAGAATCAGCAGGGAGAGTGACAGAGGGGGAGGGAGAGGCAGACTCCCCACTGAGCAGGGAGCCTGATGTGGGATTCAGTACCAGGACCTCAGGATCACAACTTGAGCCGAAGGCAGACCTTCAACTGACTGAGCCACCCAGGCACCCCATTCTGTTGGTTTTTTTTTTTTTTGAAGATTTTATTTATTTGAGAGAGAACAGGCACGAGCAGGGTGGGGAAGGGCAGAAGCGCCACTCAGGCGCCCCCTCATTCAGCTTTTTTTAAAAAAAAAAAGATTTTATTTATCTATTCATGAGAGGCAGAGAGAGAAAGTGGCAGAGACACAGGCAGAGGGAGAAGCAGGCTCCATGCAAGGAGCCTGACGTGGGACTCGATCCCAGGACTCCAGATCACGTCCTGGGCTGAAAGCAGACACTAAACGGCTGAGCCACCCAGGCATCCCCTTAAAAATGTTTTCTAATGAAATTGGCGACATAAAATTGTCATAAAAAAATCCTGTTTCTTTTGTTACTAGTAAGCATATAACCTTCTCTCCCATCCTTTTCCCCTCCTCTCATTTTTGGCCATTTTTCTCTTCAGCTTTCAGTACTTGTCTTTCAGATTTGAATTAAACTCTTGGCCGCATTTTGTAGCAAATTTTTTTCCAGTTTATTAGTGCATAACAAGTATTTTGGAGCAGTTTCAATGTTTAAACTCTATAAAGACTAAAGAAAGTAAATACCAAAACATATAACTGGTTCAGTGTGAACCTGTTCAAACAAATCCTGAAACTGAACCATTCATTTCTAAAAGGAGTGATTTTAGTAAATTAGCACTTTTTAATTTCACCAAGAGTGATTGTGACTTTAAAAATATATGTTTCAAGAAGTGCTTAGATCATTTAAGTTACTGATTTTTAAAAATTTTAATTTATTTATTCATCAGAGACACACACACACACAGAGGCAGAGACACAGGCAGAGGGAGAGGCAGGCTCCATGCAAGGAGCCTGACACGGCCCAGGGCATGAGCCCCAGGATCATTCCCTGGGCCGAAGGCGGCGCCAAACCGCTGAGCCAAGCTACTGATGCCAAGCATGTCATGTTCTGTGAGAATCATTTATATAATGAATTATGAAGGCAGCCAAAGACTGTCTGAAGTAGCATCATGTAGCACATCATGCCACTCCTGGATACCCCTGTACACAGACCATTATGTCAAGTTACCGACGATGACTACAGTAGAACGATGATAGGCCTCTCATGGTTTAGCATATTTTTATTTTATTTATTATTATTATTTTTTAATTATTTGAGAGAGAGTGTGTGTGTACGCAGAAGTGGGAGGAGGGGCAGGGGGAGAGTTCTGAAGAAGCAGGCTCAGCAGGGAGCCTGCAGTCCGACACCGACACTGACACCGGACTTAATCCCCAGGACCAGAGAGCATGACCTGAGCTGAAATCAGACACTTAACTGACTGAGCCACCCAGGCTCCCCTATTTTATTTTTAAAGATTTTATTTATTTATTTATTTATTTATTTATTTATTTATTTATTTATTTATTTATTTGAGAGAGATTGCAAGAGGATGCTCATAGATCTTAAAACATAAATAGAGGATAGTTAAAAAACACTGTCCTAAACATTATATGGTCTCATTCATTTGGGGAATATAAAAAATAGTGAAAGGGAATAAAAAAGGGGAAAGGAGAAAAAATGAGTGGGAAATATCAGAAAGGGAGACAACATGAGAGACTCCTAACTCTGGGAAATGAACTAGGGGTGGTAGAAGGGGAGGTCGGTGGGGGGTGGGGGTGACTGGGTGACGGGCACTGAGGGGGGCACAGGATGGGATGAGCACTGGGTGTTATTCTATATGTTGGCAAATTGAACATCAATAAAAATATAAATTTATAAGAAAACACTGTCCTATGGATTATAGACATAACAGGGAATATTCTAGAATTCTACATATTCTAGGAAAGTGATTTAACATCATTTCCTGCACTTAATCTAATCTTACTTTCCCCATTTGAATCTTGAACATACATGATATTGGGCAGTAAAAGAGGCAAAAATGTAAAAGGAAAATTCTGATGCATTTTCAAGTCAAATGACTATATTGAGGCATAGAAGGTTAATCTGAGTGCAAAGATTCATGGAACTGTTCGTGTTGTATAGGTTACCAGTGATTTTAGTTTCCCCTTAATACATCTGGTTCATTGGTGAAAGCCCTGGAACTCATTGTGTTTATTCTATACTCCTCAGTTATTACTTCCTTAACTTTTTAAAAAATTCTTCTTTATAGGAAGAGGAAAATCTGTGAGCTCTATGCCAAAGTGCTAGGATCCCAAGAAGCTTTACAAGTAAGAAACCCTCAGCTTTAATCCCTAGAAGGTTCTGCTCTGTTTGCTCTAAGTGGTAAAGCAAAGCAGAGTCTGGTTTCCTGACAGTCTTATGAAGAGAGTCTTATGAAGGGATATGCTTACTGGAGGATTAACTTCAGTCACAAAAAGGCCAATGAAGGCTGCCGTCAGGTGCATGCAATTTCTGATGCAGCAGTTCTTGGGCTGTTTCACTATTCCCTGGATAACTGGTAGCCAATTGCAATCAGGGCCTGGAGTCACAGGTATTATCTCTGGAGTGAGTGAGATCAGTTCCCAGAACAGAGTTCCTGCCCTCCTGTCAAAACCAACTGACTGCTTTGAGGTAAAATCCTAAATACATCCTCATTTGTTGGTGAGGGTGCACTAGTGTATACTTGACAGGATGGGTGGAATCTAGACTCTCTCAGGTCAAAGCCACACTAATTGATTTTTCCATCTGTAGACTCAATTCGCAGCTCATGTAGCGATTTCGGTGCTTTCAATCTGCCACTGAAAGTGATGATGGGAATGAAATTCTGTCTGAAGATCCTATTAGCTAGCTGGAGGCTCTTTCAGGGGATTATTTCTGAACTGTTCAAATAATAAACTTGCAGACTCTGTTAAGGAAAAACTCAGAGAAAGTTCTCCCATGTCTCTTGGAAACCATTGCTCATCTTTAATTGTCTTCATTTTAGCAGGATTCCCATCATTCACTTTCCTGAACCTGATTGTTTTTTTGTTTTTATTTTTTTTCCGAACTTGATTGTTGAGGGGGTTTCCCCAAAGACTTAGTCTAAAGATTTCAGAGTCTGCACGGCAACCCCGTCTCCCAGATATTGGAATATTCCATGTCTCCCCTCGTCAAGAGGTTGAAAAAGTCAAAGTACACGTTTTGTCACTTGCTATCTTACCGCAGGCCATTTACTTGGTCCTGTCAGGTTTCCCCTTAAATGAAACAGAAAGAACCAGGGGCACCTTTTTTTTAAAAAAAAAAAAAAACATAAACTTGTTAAAGTAAAATATACGAGAGCCTTCGTGGTTGGCTGGTAGCATTTCAACTTTGTCTTCCCTTTGGAATTCTCTCCCCCACTGAATGCAGCCCGTACACTATGAAGAGAAGAACTGGTGCGAGGAGCAGTACTCCGGGGGCTGCTATACCGCCTACTTCCCCCCTGGGATCATGACTCACTACGGAAGGTACTGGCCAGACACTGTCCCCATTCATCGAAGCCATGCACTGACCTTAAACCCATAAGCGAAATTGGATGGGAATTTTAGAAATAGTAGCATTCTGACTGTGAGTGCCCCGGGTAGTTAGTATGTGTATTTCTGGATATCTGTACATAGAACAATTGCTGTCAGTGCCCAGAACGGTAGCAGAACACCTGTGAGGAATTCAGGTGTCAATGCTCTGTGTGAGAACAGCAAGCTGCAGTTGCTTGAGCTCAATTAGACATTCAGTTTCACACGAGTCCCCTGGGCTTCTGGGTAGCAGCTATACCTAAGGACGTTGGGCTAAAGACATCTTGCTGCAGCCACTCCTCTTCGAGGGGGTGGGGGGCATCCCTGGCATGGACAGCTAAAATGTGAGCAGGAGGTGATCCTGGCATAGATTACAGGAAGCCCACCTTGGCTTCGAAGCCCCCTGCCCCAGAGGAGCCACTGTCTCTTGTAACAACCTCATCGGCACGGTGTCTGTCCAGGAACATGCCTGGCTGCACAAGGCAGGACACTCAGGGAAGCCCAAAGGGAGAGCCTCCTGCTGGGTATTTGCAATGCAAGACACTTCCTGGCCCAGATGCAATTACCAGTGTGGCAGGAGGCATTTTGGCATAACTAGTGTCTCCTGGTACCCTCCCTGGCATGATACCTTCTGTCAGGTTCTCAGGGGAACTGAGCTAGAAAGTTAACTCCAGGTAACACATGTCCACAGAGAAAGAGGGCCTTCTTAACCCTTTCTTTACGTGAGCTTTTTCTTTGTGTTTATTTCATGAAATCAAATAGTCTTTGTCAGTGATAAGAGGGATTGATTAACTGGGGTAGTTCTGAGGGCAAAGTAGAAGCCTAGAAGTAGAAACCAGGGTCAGGAACAGATGAAACCAAAGATGCCTGAGTTGGAAAAAGGTGTGGAGGCCTTTGAGGGTGGAAGGTGTGCCACTCAGGAGACTGTATGAAAGTGGCTGCAGATACGGTAGGGGACAAAGCTGACAAGCTGGGAGGGGACACTTGCCCATTCAGCTCAGCCCTTCTGTGGCTTTCTTTGCTGAGACCCCTTTGTAAGAGGAGGCCCATTTCCCTGTCCTCAGATAAATCCGCAGAAACTGTGTCCAGAGGTGGTTATTTTGAGACAGACGTATAATCCCTTGGCTCCATCCTTTGCTAGAAAGCAGTTCATCTCTGTCTTCCCACTTGCCACTGTGGTTCCTCCTGATACCCTGGGAGTGCCTGCATGGCTGGTGTCTGCTGCCAGATACCCTCTTGTGAAGAATGCACCCCTTTGAAAAGATGGTGTAGGGAGCAGGATCAACCACAGATAGGAAACCTAGTACAGAGAAATCCGATTGTGGGTTTCATGCGTGTGCTTGTAGTCTAATCCAGGCTGGCTCGGAAAAGGCCAGCATCACCTTTAGTGATTGATGATCTGACAGCCTGATTCTCTCTGGCTTGAAAGTTCAGATCCTTGGGCACAGGCCCAGGGAACAGGGAAGAGCCTTTCTCCTTTGGCAGAGCCAAATGGGAGTTTTGGGAATGATTGGGGCTGGGCTCTGTTCTCTGGGATTAATGAGGGCAGCAGCGATGGGCTCATTTACCCTCGTTGCCTTCCCAGGTAACTCTCCATGACCTCTCTGTTCTCTCAAAGGGTGATCCGCCAGCCATTTGGCAGGATTTTCTTTGCTGGCACTGAGACGGCAACACACTGGAGCGGTTATATGGAAGGAGCTGTAGAGGCTGGGGAACGGACAGCTAGAGAGGTAAGGGAGGGAGCCATGTCACCCTCCAGTGGTGTTTTTGGCATCTGGATCTTTCTGCATCTTGACACTGATCAGTTTGTACATCCACTTCGCAGCTCACTACACTCCTGGGTGTGGGGGCTCCTCTATGGCTAGCAGGGGCCTTGGCATCCCTCGGAACTATAGAAGCTCACTTCATAATCATACCATGGCCACTTTCTTGCAGGTCTTAAATGCTCTCGGGAGGGTGGCAGAGAAAGATCTGAAGACCCAGGAACCTGAATCAAAGGTGAGTTTAGTAGCTTCTTCTCCATGGTTTGGTAACTGAATGTAAAAGTCTTGCCTCTCACCTTCTCGCCTATGAGGTCATTGTCGATGCCACCCTAGGGCAGGCGCGTGCACTGACATGGCAGACATGTTCTCCCCACCCTTGTCAGTACGAGTAAGAATGCTCTGCTAACGATCTCTGCTCATCCATCCAGGATGTTCCAGCTATGGAAATCACCCATACCTTCTGGGAGAGGAACCTGCCATCGGTGACAGGCCTGCTGAAGCTCATTGGATTTACCACATCAGTAACTGCCCTGTGGATTGTGGCGTACAAATTCAGGCTGCTGAGACGATCCTGAGTCTTCAGCCCCACACTCTCTGCTTACTCTTCCCCAGCACCATCAAAAGCAAAACGTCGACAAAGGCTGTGTCATTGGACCATCTTTAAATGCACTGATTTAAGTTTAGTCTCAGTGTCATAAGTAAAATCAACCCAAAGAATCACCTCATTAATTTCAATAAGAAATTATGTTATTTGCTCCATCATGTTATTTGCCTGGGTAGACTAACTTGTATTGGTTGGTAGAATAAAACCTGTGATTAAGTCCTTGATTTCAAGATGTCTAATTGAAGTGCTGATCAGAAACCATTTCTGTGTCCTGTTTGTCTCCTCTTTAACACGAAATGCCTGGTTGATAGCAGAAATGAAGCATTTCGCTTTCTGTGTGTAGTGGTTGAGTAGGTGAAGGCCCAGACTGTGGCTGTCCTTTCCAGTCCTTAGGAAATAGAGAAGTGTAGGTCCAGGGCCCAGGGGCTCGCAGCTTCCTGGGGGTGAGCGGCTCGCCCTTTGGATGAGGAGTAGTACTTTAAAGCAGTGGAGGTGTAGACCATTGAGGGATGTCTTACGGACTGCGCCTCAGGGGTCTCTTGGCCACTTCTAAGTCCTGTGAAGTTTCTAGACAGCTAATCCAATGTTTCGTTTGACTTGCTGTGATTTGTGTGTAGCTCTCCAGGGGAGCAGAGTAAATTAGTGGCAGGGCTATTTGCGAGGAGGCCTCCTGATGAGCTCCACATGACACCAACTGCAAGAGGCATCTTCTCCTCCTCCTGGAGGATGGCTAGACATGCCTTCTCTCGCTATCGTCGATAACTTTCTCTGCCAATTTCAAGAAAGCACTTTCCTCCTTTCAGGTAGACCTTGGCTGTCTGAAGGCCCCTAGTGGCATATTTTTTTTTTCTTTTTCCTTAGGACCAGAATAGAATTAGGCAGATCTGTTAACTAAAATGACAGGGTTACCTTTGAGTAAATATTAGCATGCTGATCTCTCTCAAATAGGAACTGAAATACACATGATGAATTTCTGATTGCTATTTGTTGAGACTATCAAATAGAGAAAGGAAAGTGGGGCTTTATATTATAACCTCACTGGCTTCAATTAAGTTTATAACAGACATGAAATTGAGTGATTTTAATATGAAGACTGAGTTCTCTATTTGAGGAATAAAGCAGGCCCAGAACAGTGCCCGCATCTTTCTGGCCTCTCCCATTTTAAAAACTCAGATTTTTTAAAGCTCCTTCCAGAGGTTTCAGCCATAAAAGACTACTTTTTTTTTTTTCACATAAGCGTCTGGGGGAAAAAACACCAATGTGATCAAATAAAGCAGTTGATAAGATTCAGTGGATCTGAGTACACAGGTGGATAGTAGTAACACCCTATCCCACATCACGGATGAATGAGGCATTTCATTTTAGATAGCTATACTAAAAATTGTAAATAAAAATTTTGATGGGCATACATCCACACATTCAACAAGCTACATTCAGATTCACCTTTTTAAAATCATCAGGTCAATCCTTATGTGTCTTGATTATTTTATGTTTTATAAGAAAGTGATACCATTGTGTTTGCCTCTCTGCTGAATGTCATATGATTGTTTTATAGCTGATGAATTTGTTTCTCTTATACTCCCATATTCAAATTTTTATTTCATACCCTTATTATCTCCTAATGCCTCTTAACCTAATCTGTCTTCTGTTGAATGGGAATGATAGATTGCCAGAGAAGATCAACCCAAGTTTATTACATAATTAGCCTTACAAATTCACAAGTCACTGGATCCTGATAATGAGGGCTTAAGGTATTTCAGTTTTGCCTATCCTAAGAGCAAAGAGCATGATTTTTCTGCCACTGTTTACTTTTTAATTGAAAAGTGTTTTAGCTAACGTAGGAGTTTGGGCAATGTCTTGGATATGCTCCAGTCCATAAGGAGTTGCCACATATTATATCAAACTGCTCAGAGAAATCACATCCCTGATCTATGTCAGTTGTTTCTGTTCACTTACTGATTAACTTGTTTCTGACACACCTTTTGGGAAATGCTGATTTAAACTTTTTAACTGGCAACAGTTTTAACAGTAAGGAGGTTGTTAACAGATCTAAGTCTCTAATGTTGAAGGACTCTTGATTTACCCTCTTCTCAAACTTTTTTGGAAAACCAATTAATTTACCCTAATGAGATCAGCCCTGTTAAACTATAGATTAAGCTTAAAAATGGATGTTAGTTTGGGTGTGCCTAGATAGGAAATCAGAACTGAGAACTCCCACCATTTTATTTGTCCAGCACCAAGATAATCCCATAGGTCTTTTCTTCCCACCCTAAGAAACTAAAGGCAGTTGAAGCAGCTGAGAGAACCTGGCACCTCCTTCACAGTCCTGAAAGCAGCATTGGCCTCACTCCACAGGAAGGTCAAGAATTAGACTTAAAAAGGTAATCTTTTTGTCACAACTGTTCAATGAGGACCTGAACCACCCTGAAGAGAAAATACCGAAGGATTGTAAACTGTTTAGTTTGATTGTGAACTTGGTGCTGGATGTTCTGTCTGAAATGTGCCCAAATGCTACATGTGGGAGTACACATCTGTGCGTGTGTTGCCATTGAAGTGATGATTTTTCCTGTATGGTACTGTTTTATTTGTTAATAAAGTGCACTACCATCCCTGATTCAGACCTGGCTCCTCTTTTGAGTCAATGGCTTAAAAGGCCGCTTTGTACTGACTCCCCAAGTTCCCCCAGTTCCCTTGGACTCATGTTCCATCACGGTTTCCTGGGAGCTGATTAACTGCTAGTGTACTGTGTTCCTGACTGGGTCACAATCAGTGTGGAGTCCAATGGAAGCTTTCTCTAGTAAGCTTATGATACCTTGAGCAGATCCCTGTGGTTCTCTGCTTCAGTCTCTCCATTTGGAAGAGTGGGTTGCACTTGAAGGCTTCTAAGAATTCTTTTCATGGCTGCACAATGGAATTTATACATTTGCCGCCAGCACTCCTGTCTATTTTGGCCTCTATTGGTATGGCGGGGGCAAGTCACTCAGCCTTCCTGTATCTTGCTTCATTCCTTGTCTTAGGTTGGATTCCCTGGAAACAGATGTAGAATCAGGGCAGAAATTTTTCTGGGGACGGCTCTCAAGCAAGCAAGGCAGGAGTAGGCAGGAGTTGACCTACAAAGGAACTGCAGCTGAGGCCTCAGCAGATCCTAAAGGGGAGCTGGGAAGGCCCTTCAGAATTGATTCCCATTAAAACAAGGTATCTGGCTTCTCTGCCTTCATTAGCTGCCTTCTGGGAGGGAGTATTGCCTTGGGTTGGGTGAGGCAGGTCCAAGAACCATTCCTAGTGAGGAACTGTAGTGAACTGAGCTAGCCTGCATTCCCAGTAGCTGGTGGATCCAGAGAGAGGCACCCAGAGTATCCACTTTACACCCCATGAGAATACAGTTGCCCTTTGTCTTGTAGAAGATGTTGTGAACTTGAGCTTTGGTTTTACAGATAGAATGGTGCTATCTCTGTGAGCCTATCCCTGTTAGATAAAGAAATTGCTTTTAGAAGGTTGTACCTCTGTACTAGTTACGTAGAAGAAAAAACTCATAAGTGGAAGAAACTCTGGAAGTGAGTCAACCTCTATCTCAATGAAGAAACCCCTTCAGCAGGTTACTAACAGATCAAATGCAGGGGTGAGAGAGGGATGTGCATTTATAAGCAGGGGCCCAAAATCTGATGTTTTGGGGAGTTAGGCAGCTTAAAATGAACTGTAGCAGGTATGATGTATTAGGGAGTAGTAGGGATTGTGGCTGACCTGGTGAGTATGTGCCTCTCTCAACAGTATCTATATTCAAATTCCTAAGAGATTGTTAACCAATGAAAAGCATTTGAAAGCTTTGCTCACACATCACAATTGTTCCGAAGTCTCTGATAAGTAAAACAAGCTTTGGTCTTCTATCATTTTAAAAAATGACAGATTCTTTTAGGGCGCCTTTGATTTTCTGTGAAATGGCACAAAGACCAGCAACCATTTTGTATAACTATTTAGAACAGGTAAGAGAGGCCTGTGTTGGAAGGGCAAAAAGACCAGGGTGGGGAAAGAACCCCTTCCAAGCCCCTCTTAGACCAGAAATCTCCCTCAAGAACTAACCCCCCAGCCCAGCCCGGGCAATGCTTATCTGCCACCATGTCAATGTCATGGTTGACAAGACCAGTGCTAAACTTTATCGGAACAAACCCATCCTCTTAGTGGGATTGAACTCACAGCTCTTTTGTCAGTGTTCAATCTGTGCTGACTACAGTGTAATTCTAGTAAACAGGGCATCAACATTGGATGGATTTTTAAAACTATGAAGCTACTATCTGCTTTATACCAAGGTGGTGGTAAAATGCAAGGTATGTCCCTTAGCCTGAAGGGGCTGGCTGGGACATTGGAAGAACAGACAGTCATTCAACACACACTTACTTAGCACTGACTATGTGCTGCTAGGCACCATGCTGGGATTCAGCAGTGAACAAGACAGAGCCTAACCTCGTGGTGCACAAGGTCTAGTGTAGACGCCAAGGAACACATTCACTGTGGCTCTGGTCAGTGCCATGACAGAAAAGCATAGCATAGATGAATGCAAGGGAAGTGCTCGGGGTGTGTGGGGGGGAACATAAGATTTAACGGGAAGTTTCTAGAATTTGTCCTCAAGCCTCCATGAGCATCACCATGTGGCAAATCAGTGAGAATACTTCATTGGGTAGAGAAAGGAAGTTACAAAATAACAAGATGTCTTAGTCTGATGGGGCTGTTAACAAAATGGGGTAAACTGGGTGGCTTATATACAGCAGAAATTTGTCTCACAGTTCTGGCGGCTAGAAGTCCAGGATCAAGTCCAAGGACTCCATCGAGCATTGTTTGCCTTTAAGTCTTTTTTACTGTTCTCCACTGGGCCCTCTTCTGGGCCCTCTTCTGCGCCTGGAGATCTGTATCAACAGACTATCTTCCAGCCCCTGTATGGAGGGGCCGCCTAAATTTGTTTTAAAAGAGTGCCATCTTCTGGCCAAATACTGCTGATTCAATGGAAAGCCTAAAGTATCCAAAAGTGGTTCTTGGGGGAAACTAACAGGTGTCACCTCCATCCAGAATTTCCTCCAAACACATGTCTGTTCTCTCTTACTTCCCATTTGCTGCATGGATCAAAAACATTTAATGTTTAATATCCACAGCCTTTCCTCTGCCCAAATTCCCCAGGAAGAATTTTTTGTTGTTGTTAGAAAAAAAAACCGGGCTTGGTTGCTCAGCTTCTATTGTGTCCATCTGGATCCTGGGAGAAGAAATTGGTGGGAGGTGGGAGAAGTGGAAGGGATTGCTTTTACCTTAGATAGGGCAGGGAACTAATCCAGGAAAAGCAAGAGAGAGGGGCTAGGGGGAGAGAAAGTTCTAGAAAACCAACGGGCCTATGGAGTGCAGCTGGAGAGAAGGGAGGTTTGCAAAAGCTGCCTTGACCACCTAGGAACACAGGAAGTGAGGAGGGCTTTTAGGAAGTCTGGCTAAGAGTCCTGTGGTGCAGTAAGGATCTACATTAGCCATTATACCTTGAAGGTCTAAATTGTGTTTCTTTTAGATAATGTGTTGCACTGGGACCACTTTATAGGCCCCCCAAACAGCCTATGTTATTCTGGGCTATATAAATTCAGAAAGCATATGGTTAATAGTGCCCGGCATCCTGAAGTGTGTCTATGAGTCCTGTGGGTTCAGTTAATGGGATCTCAGATGAACTAAACAGAAGAACCTCAGCAAATGTGCCCTGGAAAGACCACATCTAAGCTGGTAAACTGTGCACCCCAGACTGGATAGACACGAAATAGGTCTCACAATGAATTAGATTTATATTAAGGAAAATGAGATCTTCTTGCCCATAATGTGTTTTCAACTGACTCCCATGGAACATTATATTGGCATCAACCAGTAAACGTGGGAGGGGCAGATGTGGGGCCCCTGTGTGGGCATAAAGAGGCTGCCAGTGTCCAATGGGCTTTGTATTTAGACAGCGCAGAGCAGGCTGGAGTGTGCACCCTAAAGACAAGTTGGGTGTTGGGGTCCATTGAGAGGCTAAAGGCAGATGAGCTTTTCCAACAAACCAACCACCAATGGCCATTTTAACTCTATGGGCTGTATTGGTTTCCTATTGGTCCTATCCCAAATGACCACAAACTCAGCGGCTTAAAACAACACGAACTTAATATCTTACAGTTCCGGAGCTCAAAAGTTTGAAATGAGTCTTCCAGGGTTAAAATCAAGGTGTCAACAGAGCCAGTTCTTCCTGGAAGCCCCAAGGGAGAATCCATTCCTTACTTCTTCCAACTTCTGGAGGTTGCCAATATCTTTGGCTGGTGCCAGCCATATCACTCCACTCTCTTGCTACCATGGACACATCACCTCCTCCTCCTGACTCCTTTCTATGAGGAGACCCATGTTAATAATTGTGCCCACCTCAACAATCCTGGGTAATCGCCCTATTTTACAATCCTTAATCCTATCTGCAAAGTCCCTTTGCCATGTAAGGTAATATATTCATAGTTCTGGGGTTAGGATGTGAACATCTTTGTTAGGGTCAATATTCAACCCACCCCCTGGGCCATAATGCTCTTGAAAGCCAAGGATTAAAAGCCAGCATTGGTCTGTCCTCAAATTCTTGCTATTTCAGGCACCTGAATCTGGAGCAGCAAGCAGAACATTTAATGACTTAAAAGCAGATGAGCTCGCTCCCACTTCCACAAATGCCGCCCCTCCCTGCTCCACCACACACATCTGAATATAGCCATTTCTTGCTTTTGTCCTCTAGATAGAAAAACGCTGGAATCTGTGATCCTCAGAAGCAAATGTATTTGTTCTACATAAGCACAGAACCAGACTCCAGTTTTGTACCTTCCATAAATGAGAGAACAGAAATTTTTATTCTAACCCAACTTCCTTTAGCCTTTGCTCATGACTGAGTGCTGTGCTCTTACAGGAACCTTCTCGGTCTTCCCTTCAAGTAGCAGAGCCTCAAAGTAAAAGTACCCTACCAGGCACCTGTCAACAAGCGTTGATCACCCACGAGATGAGGCAACATGCTGATTGAGCAAAGCTAAGTTTATTAGACTCGCTGCGGGGAAGAATATCCCATTGGCAGTGTTAGCAGTGTCTCAAAGAGGAGAAATCAGGGCAGAGTTTTTAGGTTTGTAGGGTTTTCGACTTGGGCTTGGTGATTTGCAGGGCTGATCTTGCAAAGCAGAAAACTGGTTGGGGTTGGCAGAGTCTATGACATAGTCGTTCAGGATAGCTAGGCACAGTGAGGTTGGGGTCTTTGAAGTGAGCCTCGGTAGGTAAGCCATTTTTGGCAGTTCGAAGTTTCGTGTGCCAGGAACGAGAATGTCCTGGGACAAGTAGCCAAGTTATTTTGACTGGTTCCTGTATCGTTCAGCTCAGGGACAGGAAAGCAAGTTGGTTTCAGTTCTTAGAACTGAGAATACTTAGGATTGTGACATGCACATTTTAATTTTTTAAAAGATTTTGTTTATTCATGAGAGACACACAGAGAGAGGCAGAGGGAGAAACAGGCTTCCTGTGGGGAGCCCCATATGGGACTCGATCCAAGGACTCTGGGATCACACCCTGAGCCGAAGGCAGACACTCAACCGCTGAGCCACTCAGGTG